CATTCATGGTGCAGTGGCTAAACTGTAGTATTACAGCCAAAACTCTGCTCACAGTCAGTGTTTGATCCCAGCGGATTCTGACAGCCAGCTTGAGGTTCTCTCAGGCTTCCATCCTTCCGAGGTTGGTAAAATGAGTACCCAGCTTGCTGAGGGGTGTGTGTGCAATGTGTAGCCTGTATAATTAAAATTTTAAGCTGCCCAGAGAATGCTTTAAGCACTATGGGGCAGTATATAAGCAGCACACTTTGTTTTTGCTTTCTGCTTTGCACTAACTTTAGCACCTGATTTGACTGTGAGGTTTCTACCATTGTTTTCCCCTTCTTCACCAACTGTTTTTGTTGAAAAACACTTCACGCAATAGAAGGAGTCTAGAATAGAGTGCTCTCTAGAAATGACAGTTGATATTGAGGTGAATAAAAGTTGCCTATCTATTTTCTGCCTGGGGCTCCTACATCGTTATGTGAGGTCAAAGGTGAGCTAAAAGCCAAATTGCATGTGGTGACTTCGACATGTGGACTGATAGTATCTTCTCTGCTGTTTATGATGGCACAGGATTAGTGAAAAGGAGTAGAGTAGCCTGTTGTTTGTACACATAGCAACACAGCACCAGCCATTACTCCCACAGCAGTTGACTTCAGACATCTAATTATTGTTTTGGACTGACTGAGAAGGACTGTGTTTGTGACTCATAAGCCTACTTAGAACTTAGAACTTGATTATGATTCTGAAAATTGCCCTTGCCAGAATCCAGTTGGTAGTCTGAATTAGAGTAGACCTGTTGAATTAAAGTGTGTCAGTGTTGAATTACCATTTAGTAACCAATTCATTGGGCCTGCCATGGTTCGGATTACAGCTGGATTTAAGCCATTCAGTTTATATATCAATCACTTCTTAAGTGCACCAGTTTCCAATTTGTTGATATATAGTGGCATATTGTAATCAAGAGTCTTAGTTGATCCCTGATTTTTCGTTGAGATCATCATTAGATTTACATGCCCACTCTATATCATTAAGTAGAGTTAATGATTTAGAGTGGGTACTGTGGATTTAAATAGAAATGCACTGCAAGAATTTTTTATGCTTTTTAAGGAATATGCGGTGCCTTATAATCAATGATGTTTTATAACATTGCATGAATGAATCATCCAAGTTTTTATTCTTGAAAATTTTCCACTCCGACAATACATCACATTTGGAGGAAATTTATATAACTGTTATATAACGTGGTGAACTCTGGAACTTTTCCTTTAGAAATCTTTTTAGAATATTGCTTTGAAGCCTTGGTTACATTTTTATTTGTTTCATACTTTGAAAACTATACTGTATGCTCTTCCTCAAATACTAATTTGAACACAGAAGAACTGATAAAATGGTAATGTTAGGTTTGAAATACAAATATATCCATGAGTGCTAAAGCTTTGATCGTGCTAATTATATATATACCACTAATGTGAGTTTCCACAGGCAATGCAGATGCTGCCTCTCTTGTGAAGCCTTACCATCTTTGTGCCAGTTAGAGTAAGTTGTTGTTATTATTATGAGATTTGAACTGATGTAGGATTGAGTCTTCCCCCGGTCTGGATTTCCTTTTGCACATGAGATGGTACAGGAAGCGGCAGTATTGCAGCATTCAATACATACTACACCTCTGTCTTGAATATGACCATAAGAGCAGTGCTTCTGTTTAACAAATGAGAAGCTTAACAGGATTGTTGGTGTTGGTTGCAGTGGACTTTTTCTTGTGTGTGTGGTGTCAAATTCAAATCATTTGTTGAAGGACTAAGTGGTCTGTAACTGATTTAAGACTTGTGAAGTGACAGAAACACATTTTTATTCAAGCAGACTGACCGTGTTTGTGGTATTGAATTTGGGTTGCTTCCTCTTTCTTTTTCCCTTGAGAGGGTCCTCAGTAAGTATGGGACTTCAAAATTTTAATGTTTTTAACCCAAAACTTGAAAGAGGCTCTTTCTTTCTTTCTTTCTTTCTTTCTTTCTTTCTTTCTTTCTTTCTTTCTTTCTTTCTTTCTTTCTTTCTTTCTTTCTTTCTTTCTTTGCATTGCTGAAAGAGAGTCCCTACAAAAAGGGAAACTGAAAAGAAACACTAAGCTTTCCTTCACCCTTTATCTGTTGAATTTCTGGAGAAGTTTTTCATTTAATATCATTGTAAGAGCTGCTGTTGGCAGCCAGTTACAATGTCCCAGGAGTGGAGAGTAGGAATCTTGAATGTGTAAAAGGGACTGAATTGGAGCCACTTGGATCTCTTAACTGCAAGAAAGTACAAGTTAGACAGACAGACAGAGAGACAGACAGAGAGACAGACAGATAGATAGATAGATAGATAGATAGATAGATAGATAGATAGATAGATAGATAGATAGATAGATAGATAGATAGATAGATAGATAGATAGATAGATAGATAGATAGATAGATAGATAGGTGGGTGGAAATCAGTGAAGAGTGCTCTTTGCGTCGGTCGTTCCATGTGGGTGAGATTACTGTGTGTTGCTAAGTTGCTGGTGCCCTCCATCTTGGATTATTCTGCCTGCATTCTTACTTACCTGCCACTGTGCCTCTATCTTGGATCCCTTTACCTTTCTTGCTTCTTTTTCTTGATTGTTGGGTATATTTTTTTCCCCATTTTGGGGGTAAACATTGCTGCTGCTGCTACCAATTTCTTGAATTATTTCAGCTGCCACCTGCTTTCTGACACCTGCTAATTTCAGAGGAGCTAAGTGAAAGCATCAAGTGATACAGGAAACCAACATTTCCCCGTATTCTTGTAGTTTTTGTTGCAGGGGGCTGGTATTTTTGCCTTTTTCGCTTGCTTCCTCTTCTTGAATTTTTTTTGGAGGGAATGTTTCTTATCTTGCTATTTCTTTTCCCATGGAGGTGCTTTTCCTGTTTGATTAATTTAAATCAGCTGCTATTTGTTTAATTCACTGTGTGCTTATTCTGTTGAAGGTTTATATTCTGGTGGAAATTGGAGGTTGGAACCATAGTTTGTTGTTGTTGGAAGGGCCGGGGGTGGACGTTAACAGTGCCAATGTACCACTGGGCTATGTAAATGTGGTGATACAAATGATTGCCTGTATAGGTCTAATGGTACTTTTCCTTATCATGTACTGCTAGAATAGATTGATTCTTTCTTGCCTCAACTCTCTGGCTTTAAAAAGTTAGTTTAATGGGTTTTAGGGCTTTTGGAGTATGAGGGAAGCATGCATGGGGCAAACCAAAAATAATGACCTGAAAGAAGCATTCCCTTTTGTGTAAAATGAAAGCACTGATGCATGAAAAACATTTTTAAAAAATGAAAATGGCACTCTCAAAAGAATCTGAAACATATCATGTCAACATTTCACCATGCACATTCCTACTTCTCTTCTTTACATATTGTATGGCAGTCAGGTGCACTATAGTCTAGTTGCTCCTGGAAATCTGGCTAATGCAAATGAATGAGAATGTAATTTCAAAGAATTTGAAGAATTCCTACAAATTATCACATTGCAAACCCATAACAGAAAGAAGCTGAGGATTATAACATTCAGATGTGGACAAAAATGAAATAGATATGAGTATTGTGAATTTACTGCTCAGATTCCAGTTATTATTTTTGTTGTGATTATGGTATATTAAGATAGAATAACAATTATACTAAGTATAGATGTATTGTACACTTTATTCTTAAGGTACATAATGTTAGCATTACATACTAAGGATGCAAAGCCTGCTCATTTAAATCTTCATTTGCATTAGTTATAGACTTTCTCAACTCAATGAAAGGATTTTTCAAGCTCTTTCAGACATGGAATAATTAGTCACTATTTTTTAAATCAGTTATCTGTGTGATTTGTGCAAAGTGTCTGCAAAAGTAATATCCTTTCATTTTGAGAAACAAAGAACATACATGCAGTAGGAACAGAAGGACTGGCTCTTGGGAGTCCTTCTCATTCTTAAATATTATGCAATAAAGCCATTCTGTTGAACTTGCATTATCCACATTAAAGTGATCTTTGTGTTAACATGTTACTTGATCAAATTTGCTTAATTTGTGCAGACAATAGTAATTTTTCTCCTTCTCTTGTTGAGAGGGTATACACAATACATCATTTTCACACAGTGTGGTGAACATAATATTGCATTTTCTTAGTTCTCACATGTGACAATGAGAAGAAAGGATTTATATGTCTACTGCTTAATCATTCACATTATTCTAATACTCTAGGTCAGGGGTTCGCCGCAGCTCAATGAGGTGCCATGAAACCCAGCCAGGGGAGCCAGGAGAAAATGGATGGAACATGAAGCTATGAAGGCTATAGAGCAGTGGTCTCCAACCTTGGGCCTTCAGATATTCTTGGACTACATCTCCCAGAAGCCTTCACCACTACCTCTGCTGGCCAGGTTTTCTGGGAGTTGAAGTCCAAGAACATCTGGAGGCTCAAGGTTGGAGACCACTGCTTTAGAGGAACCGTTCACAGCTCTATAAAAACCTTCCCTATAGCCTTCATAGCTCCATGTTAAACAGGAACTGGAAGGAGAAGTCAAATGCTTGCCTGTCCATTTCCATGATAGAAGTGTTTGCCTGGTGGCCTCGTGGGTTTTCTGCAACAAGACGTGGAAGGAGGTGGACCCTTGGGGATATTTGCGGTTGGGGGAGAAGATGGGATGCTTGTGGGGGGATCAAGATCCTGCCCTTGGTGGGAGAGAGACCCCTGATGGCATCTCCAAGCAGAGGGAGCTGTGGCCCATGATCAGTAAATAAAGGGAGCTGTGAAGCAAAATGTTTCAGCACCACTGCCCTAGGTGCTCAAAATGTGATCTATGTAGAAGGTGCAGGGGATGCCCCAGTACGTTCACAGTCCTTATATTCTTTGGGGAGGCTCCTTACATGTCCTTCTCTGATCAGCTGAAAGAATAACTATGCAGTTATTTGTGTTATTAAAGCTGATATAAGCAACATCATCTTATTTATTTAATTTTCTTTGTGTGCATGTCTTTGCAGCATAAAGAACGTCACTCCCAAAGTAGGAGATGCTGAAACCCGTAAAGCAATTCGCCGTGCCTTTGACGTGTGGCAGAATGTAACTCCTTTGACGTTTGAGGAAGTTCCTTACATTGAACTAGAGAATGGCAAACGGGATGTGGATATCACTATCATTTTTGCATCAGGTTTTCATGGAGACAGTTCTCCCTTTGATGGGGAGGGAGGATTTTTGGCTCATGCGTATTTTCCGGGGCCAGGAATTGGAGGAGACACTCATTTTGATTCTGATGAACCATGGACTTTGGGAAACCCTAATCATGATGGTAAGCACACTGTTCTCTTTAAGCAGCCTCTGTTTCTCTTTGTAACGTATGGTGCATTTATAAGACCATAAGATTATGCTGTATTTACATGTGCTGCCAATGCACCAGAATAGCTTCTTGAACCACAAGACGTGGGACACCTAGATTTAACTTTTAAATGAAGTGTAAAAAACATTATAAAAGGCGTTGTTCAAATGGCTATAATTTTAAGTATGCACTGTAGGATAGCAGAAAGATAGCAGAAAGAATCAGCTCTGGTAGGACTTTTTTTTAAATTAGAATGTCAATTATTATTGGTGTGGGATGGATACTTCTGTAACACATATCCTGTGTTAATTGTTGCCATATGGCTATAAACCTAGGCTTCAAGGTGTTTCTTGTAATTATTCTTTTATGCATATTTGGTAACAATGTCACAGACATGTTCCATTAATGAATTAATAGCATCCAACGTAAGTAACTGGCCCACAAAAAGTGGGTGAATGAAAACAGTTGTTTTTGTAGTGATCATAAACTTGATAAAGCGACAGGTTACTCAGTTGTACTGGGCAACCAACTAGTAGCACTTTTCTGCGCTGATAGTAGAATTTTGGATATCTGCTGTAGACCTAAATTAACACAAGATGATGTGAAATCACTGTGGAAGCTTGGGTTCATACGAATGTATCGTAGAGAGGCCTCTACATGCAGAGTACCATTTAAGGGTGCAGTCAAGATGGCATTTCTCATAGCTGGCTTGAAGACCCCATGAGACAGAAACAAGGAACAATTACAGTGGTGCCTCGCATTACAATGTTAATTCGTTCCAGCGAAATCGCTGTAGAATGAAAACATCGTAAAGCAAAATTAAAAAGCCCATAGAAAGGCATTAAAACCCGATTAATGCGTTCCTGTGGGCTTGAAACTCACCGTCCAGCGAAGATCCTCCATAGCGCGGCCATTTTCGCTGCCTGTGGAGTGAGGAATCTGTCCCAGAAAAGAGCGGGGAGCCATTTTTTTAACCCGGCGGCCATTTTAAAACCGCCGATCAGCTGGCCGAAAATCGTCATTTTGTGAGAATCGGTTCCCGAAGCAGGGAACCGATCATCGCAAAGCGAAATTCCTCCATAGTAAACATCGTTTTGCAATCGCTTTTGCAATCGCAAAAACTTCGTCGTAACGCGATTTCGTCGATAAACGGGGCACTCGTCTTGTGAGGCATCACTGTATTTACTCATATGATTTGTTCATTGGCATTTTTTCTGAAATCTTCCAGTGGGATATTCAGTAGAGTACAACGATTAGAAACATCACAAGCAATATAAAATCAAGCAGTTATAACCAAAAGAAACAACGGAAGAAGAACTTAACAGCATTACACTTTTCTTGAATGGGTTTTAAGTTTGAAATGGCCAAGAAAATAAAAAAGAGGATCATATTCCTGAAACTTAGCAATAGAATAATGTAAGGGGCATGTCTTGAGAGGCTTTTTGATAGAAGTTGCAAAGTCCTGTCCATAACATGGCTTAGAAAGTTACTTTTTAAAAAAGTAATTCTTTATGTTACTTGTTGCCATTGCAGTTTTAACAAGACATTGTTCCTCCTTGTTTTATTAATTTTTTTAAAAAAATGTTTAAAAAGTAATAAAGTAGCCTAAAATTTAAGTGGGGGAAATCCCTCAAAATACATCCCATAGGTCCCCAAAAAGTAGTTGGGGAAAAAAAACACAAGTAATTTTTTTTGTTACACAGAATAATTGGCAATATTTTTGGTTATGTAATTTGGATAAGGAGCATTATGTCCTCATTATATCTCCCCACCCTCCTCCCAAAAAGTGTCATGTTGTAGGTACTAATAATGTTAATTCTACATGTGGCTCTTCTACCAGTAGTAAAAAAGAAGGAATTGATGACCTCAGTAGTAAGGAGGCCACTTTTTCAGATTTCCTGCAAGGGACAGAGGATATCTACAAGGGACAGGAGATACGATCTGCAAGGCCAATCTGCACATATATATTTTTTATAAAGGTCACTACATTGAGTTATTTTAACTTAAAAGAATAATAATAAGAAAAAATAATAATTTCTTTAATAAGAAAACATTCACTTACATTTTGCGAGACTTCGGGGGAGGGAGAGGCATGGTGGATAGGGTCAATATATGAAATAATTATCTTGATGCCCCTTAGAGCAGTGGTCCCCAACCTTGGGCCTCCAGATGTTCTTAGACTACAACTCCCAGAAGCCTTCGCCCCCACCTCTGCTGGCCAGGATTTCTGGGAGTTGAAGTCCAAGAACATCTGGAGGCCCAAGGTTGGGGACCACTGCCTTAGAGGGCAAAAAAAGAGGCCTTTTTAGCAAACTCTTATTTTTCCAGGGGGAAAAAAGTGTGTTGTGACAATGCCAAGATTCTGCCTGTATGTTAGGAGGTGCTAGCTGATTTATAAAGGCAGATAGGGTTAGACAAACAGAATCTATGGTGGTAGTTCTGCCCCTTGGATAAGTCTGTTTACTTGTTCTGTTTTCTTTCTTTAAAAAGTCTCAGTGGTTAAATGTCTCGGGGATATGTTAATTGGTTCTATGTGTTAAACAGTTTCAGTCTCTGAGAGCTTTCTACATTGCATTTTTTAACATCATGAACATTCCTTTGAAATATTTGCATATAACATTATCCAAGGTTAAGGTTAGGTAATTGTGTTCTTTTAGGAGTTCATATTGAAAGTGCTTCCGAAGTGTTTTAGAAAGTAGGTGTATTCAATACCAGTCTGATGAGTTATGTGAGCTCATCATGTTAAGGCTTGGTGATCCATTAATTAACCAGATTACCTTGCTACATGAAGTTTAAGTTTAAAATTGGTCTTGGATAATACAGTCCAAGGCTGAATCAGTGGGCTGAGAAAAACTTTATAATCTGTTTCAAGAAGAAACAATATTCTGGGCTGAAATTGGATGGTCCCTCAACAAGAAATAGCTAAAAATGTAATTAAGGTTTCAAAAGCACACAGAGTGGTCAAAATCCTGATGCTATAAGTTCTATTGATTGAAATGAGCCTGCTCTAAGTCCAACTTAACTATGTTAAAGTAAGTCGCAGTTAGAGAACACAGTCAATGGAATTTACGGAGGAGTTGACTCATGAAACCTCCCTTGATTCAATGGGCCTACTCCAGTGTGATTTACTGTACTAAGCGACAGGATTTTGACTACTATATTGGCCAGTATCCTGTTGCCTAAACATGGAACAAAAGAACAAATGCAACAGCATCCCCCCTTACCAGCTAAGGCAGTCTTCCCATTCCACTACCAGTCTTGCAAACTGTGGAAGAAGAATCATGTTTTGGGTAGAGGGAAGGAGCCATGTAGGGATGCTTACATGATTGTCCCTCCCCTTTGCATTTAAGCCATGGAATACTGGCAATTGAAAGTTATTGACTGGCTTGGGAATGAGTGTAGATACTCTTCCTTTATTTTTTAATTTATTTCCCTTGGGCAGAATTCTCTAAAGACTCAGCCTCTTGTTGATCAATGTTTGTATTTAAATGTCTGAAACAAGGATTTAATCAGACATTAGGTAGGATAAGTGGAGTGTGGCAACATGTATAAATGGTACAATTTTTTTTTCAGTGTAGCAGGCTCAATAAGACAGCAGTTTATTGATCTTAACTATCACAGGAACTTATAGCAGCCTCACTTCTGTCAAATGAAATCCTCCCTTCCTGACAGCAAAATGAACTCTGTTGCTCGTGGTTTACTGTGCATTTCAAGCTTTAAATCTCAGCTTTGCATTGCAGGAAACATTCAATAATCCAAGAACCGGAAGGGATATGTTACAGGATAGCATTTTAATTGAAAATCTAACTGGAGAAGCATGCAAAATGCCCCCAGCAGTGTGATTCCTTTCATGTACTCGCTAAAGATAAAGTGTGCAAACATATGTATTTATGTATATATTGCTGCTTTGCTGTAAAGATTGGTATTCTGAGGCTAAATACTTTTAATCGAAGTTCAGGTTCACCAAGCAGGTTCAAGGGCACAACTGGCGCTGGGCCAACGGTGGCAACACTTATCTGAGCCTAGGTTTTGAGAACAAAAATAAGGCAAAATTGTACTTTCAATGAAGATAGGCATCTTTCTGTGCTTTTTGACCACACATAACCTATTATAGGGGTTGCATCTGTGCAGTGACAGCTCACCAAGCCACTGTTAAAGGTAAAGGTTCCCCTTGACATTTAGTCCAGTCATGTCCGACTCTAGGGTGTGATGCTCATCCCCGTCTCCAAGCCATAGAGCCAGTGTTTGTCCAAAGACAGTTTCTGAGGTCACGTGGCCAGTGCGACTAGCCACGGAATGCTGTTACCTTTCATCCGAGGTAGTACCTATTTACTCGCATTTATATGCTTTCAAACTGCTAGGTTGGCAGGAGCTGGGACAAGCGACTGTTACCACAAGTTAATAATATTGGACTGCCTACGAGTGAATAATCTCCCTTTTGCATTAGAGGCAGACATCACAACACACACACACAAAAAATGGAGTATTTGAGTTGCTGTATTACATTAGACGTTTTAAACATGTAATTAATCAGTTCTAAATATTCATGCTTAGTGTATTTGAGTTGCTGTATTACATTAGACGTTCATACCTTTTAAACATGTAATTGATCAGTTCTAAATATTCATGCTTAGTATGCTATACTTGCAGTCTCTGCTGGGTTGGAAACATTGCAATACCAGCACAGTGTCACAGATGGTGAGTACTTCCCTCAGCCTTTATTTGCTGGTGTCATAAAGTTCCAGATCAGACATTAATGGCACTAGGGGCATTACTGAGTCATCATCACATGGCAGAATGTTATCCTTTATGTTGCATTTATACAAGTTGATGCTTGAGAATCTGGACTGAATGTATCATGTACAAATTACAGACCAGTTAGTGCTACTTATCCGTTTGAGTATAATTACCCACCACCACCAAAAAAAAATGTTTAACAGATGGCCAGTTTATGTAGGGAGATATCATTAACA